GAGATATAAACCGTTTTGGGTCGTGATTTTGGGGAGGAGGGGACACACATCAACAAAGACATTCTACACTTCTTCTAGATTTTTTTCTTCAAGATTTTACATTATGCAGAACTAATTTCCTTCTTGTTAGAGGATTGATGGAATACTTCGGATTATAGTTTCTGAACTTTTTCTTTTGATGTTTAGTTAATTTTAACCATTTCAGTGTTTTATTTATGTTCTAATGTCTATTCTATGATAAGTTTAATCATTGAGAAATTAAAGATTGTTTACCATTATAAATATAATAGATTAGATGTTGTCACAATTAGAAAATTAGGTATAACTAATTAATTTATCATTGAGATAATAATTGTTCTTAATATTAAATGTTATAGCTAACCTAAAAAATTGGGAATTAAAAATTCAATGAATAAGTTTAAGTAAAATTGGGAATTAAAATTCAATGAATAAGTTTAAGTTTGTCTATATAAAAATTAGGATCGGCGGCGGGGTTATGGAGGCCAACCTATGCAAGTAAGCAAGACAATATATTCAACCTGTCTCGTTTTTTTTTTCTTGTATAGTGGTGAGTTGAGGAATGATTTGCTCCACATTGACATTTTTATCTTAAAATTGTAATTCTCTATCTACAATGATGTGCAATGGAAGAACTTACTCATGGCACTTTCAATGTACGTCATACACAGAATTATAAATTTAATTCTCATAAAACACTTATAATGAACTGTAAATTTAAATTTAAAACAGAATAGAAATTAAAACCCCGATTCATAGAAATTAAAGATTAAAACACTTTACAATAAATTTAAAACCCTGAGTCATAGAAATTAAAAATTATTAGTTTTGCTTTAAAAACAATTTTTGTTTCCAATAAATATTTAAGAATAAGAAATTTTATAGAACCTTTGCATTAGAGGAAAAACAGATATAAGATCTGAAAAAGGATGATATAGTGTAACTCACAAAAAGTAAATTAAGGTGTATTTATATTTATTATTGTAATAATATTACTATCATGCATGCCGCATTAATTATAAGTTCAAATGAATTATGTTTTATCACAAATTTATTATAAATATGTTATTGAATTTCTTTATTAAATTCTTTCTTAAATATATTTATTACATTTAACATGAGATTGGTAAACACATTCTATTATTGTAGAAGTAATAAGTAAATGAAATTATTTTAATGGGTTTTATGTTTATCTCCATAAGCTACTCATATTAGAATTTTAAATAATTTATAAAATTGTATTTCATTATTTTTCTTAAAATAAGGCTACAAAAATCCTAATGCCTAAATGATTATAATTTTTGGATTAATTGTAAAATCCCAATTTAATATTATATAACTACTAAAAGAGACATCACCTACGAGGGTAAATTTTTCAAAGAGAATACATAGAAAAGTCTATTACAACTATATCTTACATAACAGTAATAGTAGTTGAACATATTCATACATAGAGTCTATACTTTTAACAATACTATTACACCAAATCAAAAAGCCTACTATTGTTTTTACAAAATTTAATAAGAGAGGAAATCTAACAATCTAACTCTAAACTTCAGCATCATTCCTGCGTTGGATCAACTAAAACATCTTTATTTGCTCACACTATTAACGTGATCATTGCAAACAAAGAACACACATACAAACAAATAAAAAAGAAAGGATAAACTAATGTACCAAAAACAATCATATATGTTTATAGAAGTAGGAATATAACACAAATAAATCAATCAATACTAAGACATACAATCTTTCCCTCTAGATTTGACTATTCGGATACATGTATTGATATCAAACTCTAGGAGTCATGCATCTGATGGTGGTGAAATAACTCATCCAAACATACTATCACACACCGAGATTAATCCGTCAAACATCTATGTCTAAGAAACAACCATTAGACTAAGGACATTTGCTACTTTTCACACATAATCATCCTTTTCTACTTGAGATTTGAAAGTTATTAAGAGCGTCAAGATAACCCCTGATACATAGCTCCTATATCAATATGTACACTATACATAACCAACTTAAGAACTTCTCCTTGAAATTCTTCTCATAGCATATACCATATACAATCCACACTCAAAATATTATCACATACCACTTATAATCATATCCATATTTAACATCCATTAAACATAAACATATAATTCAAAATGACTCAATTAAAACATATCTAAAATCATAATAACACAGAAAACATGAAATATATATCATTTGAAGTAGGGAACGCTCAGTGTCCATTTTTGGCACTCAATGCCAATGAACATGCAAACAAGCTTGCTCAGTGAGCTTAACCTCTCTCTCCCGACAAATAAATGAGAAAAAGAGTACAAACCTGTAAGTGGATAAGTGGCTTTCAATGGCCAAAACTAACGCTTAGGGACATAGAGCTCAGGGGCTCTCTGCCTGTGAAACACTCAACATTCAGAGGTATCCCTCAGCTTCCAAGAAACAGAAACTAATTGTCTTACTATCGCTCAACGTTACCCAAGGTCGCTCAACGTTATACCAAAATAAAAAACCTTAAAATTCTTGGTTTACTTGTACTCAATACTTCTCCAATGGCACAAAGTGATATTCTTGACACTATAATTAGTTATACAATATGTTTATACTTCATATTGAACATCAATTTGTCTAATTGGCCAAGAATTCAGTTCATCGATCAACCAAAACCAACTAACTCAAATGACATATTTATAGCTCAGATTTCAACAACATAAGTGACTAATCAAGTCCTAAATACCACAAACATAGACCCCTAACCTAAGACTCAATGAATAAACCATTCCCATAGAATTTATCATGTCAAACCACTAATTATAGACCAATTTCCAATCATCTATCCAACCTATTATTAAACCAAAAGTCCAATCAAATAAGAAATTCTATCATTCACAATTCATCAAAAACCAATACAATTTAACAAGTTGTCTACAACAAGAATTTCATTATACCAAATCACCAATATCAATATATCACACAATTCATTATCATATAGTTCAAAACAGATTTTAGAAAATTATTCCATACAATTACCACATACAAATTCAGGTTATTCAACTACTAAAATTTAGAAACAAGGTATATAGCTTCCAATACCTTATATAGATGACCAAACCGCTCTAAAAAAGCTCTATATGTTCTATGAACAACAAAAACACAATCAGAATATTTATTAGAACCATTAATTAGTAGAAATTCTTATAGAAGACTCAAATACCACATGCATCCATAACAGAGTCGCATGCGAAAGAAGACAAACCAGACAAAAAAGAGGAGAAAAAAATGAACTTACTCTATAGGAGAAACTAATCCGTTCAAATTGAAGAGCTCACAAAGATCAATTCTACGGTTTCAATTCTTCAACAGGACAAAAAATTCTTAAAAAATATCAGAGAACTCTAAAAAAATAGTTTATAAAAATATAATATGTTTTAAAAATTATAAAATTTGTTCCTAACGAAACTATTTATACTAAAATCTTTTAATATTAAAATAATTCAGTCTCAATGTTTTAAAATGTCAGTGTCAATGTTTTAAAATGTCATTTTATAGTTCTTTATATTAATGTTTGTTACCTTGTTTTGAATTATTAATTTAATGTTGTTTGTTTATAGTTGATTGAACTGTTACTTTGTTTAGTTTTATCAAAATACTTGCTTTTTATTTATAAATTATAGCTACTTTAAATTATGATGAAAATATATTTTTACACAAATATATTACTTGAAATTTAATTTATCCAAGTTTTAGTTTAAAAAAAAATATAAACTTGTAATTTTTAAATTAATTAATTAATCAATATTAAATTTCATTAACTTTTACTGAGTTGATAAATTAATTTCCCTAAAAACATTTAATTTAATTTTCAATGTTTAACTTCTTTTAACTTTCATCTATACTTATTATAAGTTTTAATGTAGATATTAAATATAGGGCATATTTATTGTATTATTATTAAATATATATTTATTATATTCATTAAATGCGTTTATTATAGTTATTAATATATGTGTAATAATATTAAACATAATAAATATTTTTATTATATATTATGATAAATATATTACAACACTATAAAAAATGTAAATTTTTATTTTAAATTTAAAAGATCATAAATATTTATTGTTCTCATTTTTTAATATATTTTTTAGTGTTTATAATTTTGTGAATGTGCAATTTTTATCCTTATAAAAAACCTTTGATATATATATATATATATGATAGCAATAACCAAAACTGGCTTAATTTAATAAACTTATATATTAAATATTTACTAATGGGTGTTTCTATAAAACATTTTATAATAAATAGGTTTAATTGCTTCCTTTGTTCCCAGTTTGGTTGAATTGTGTCAAATTCATCCTCATTTTTAAAAAAGTTTCATTGTCGTCCTCACGTGGTGTAAAAGTTTCATTGTCGTCCTCACGTGGTGTAAAAGTGTCAATTGAATCCAAACATAGAAAAAATTTGTGTCAAAGTAGTCATTTTTCCTATATTTCTGTGTCTTCCTTTCATACAATCAAGTACAGATATTCATTTTACCTTATCCAATTTAAGGCTTTTCATAGCTCCAGAGAAGTGACATATGAAAGGAAGACACAGATATATAGGAAAAATGACTACTTTGACACAAATTTTTTTTATGTTTGGATTCAATTGACACTTTTATACCACGTGAGGACGACAATGAAACTTTTTAAAAAATGAGGATGAATTTGACACAATTCAACCAAACTGGGGACAAAGGAAGCAATTAAACCTAATAAATACTAACAAAATGCATGGTGTGGCTACGAACTTAGTAGAAAATATCAGATAATTCAGTATTGTCAAGCGCTGACATTCTCCTGACCAAAATATTCATAAAACTGTTAGAGTAAGAAAAGTTTTCCACTTCTAACTCACTGAATGACTTCCCCTCCGTGAGTACAATGTAAACAATCTTCACCATCAGAATATGCAACTTCAGATTACATTTTCCACACCTTATCATGCAGATAACGGCATTTGGAACCACGGCGACCCCTTGAAGTCTTAGAGTATTTGCACGATTTCTGAATTTTCCTTTTCACTTCATTTGGATTAAGGACACGAGGTCGTTTATAATTTTGCAAATGATTATGATTCTGCTTGTCTGGCTGACTCATACCATCATATTTTCTAACAAGGTTTTTATAGTAATTGACATCTTTCACATGAGGTGCAGCTGTGTGAGCAGATACAGATCCAGACAAAGGAACAAGTGGAGTTGCAGTTATATGATTATCATGTGCAGGTTCCAGCAATGAACTAGATGGAATTTCAGACATTTCAGGGGCGACGATCATCAGTGGATTTGATGGAGCTGATGATTTTCTTGCACTCACAGTCCTTGAGGCTGTATTCATCCCAGTGGTGGTAACAGTTGAATATTCTTCTATTATTTTCTCAATCATTATTGGGTCATTAGCTATTTTAAAGAGAAAATCAACATCAATCACGGTTCCTTCTTCGATGCTTTTTAAGATGGTAGATGAAACAGTAGTTATAGAAGCTGCAACTAAATTTGCCTCCGAAGATGTTGCTGGTTGAATGCATTGCTGTGTGGTTTGTGTCTGCAGTTTGGAGAGAGAGTCTCCATGTTTTTTTGTGACAGAAACATCATGGTTAATACCTGTTACTGATTCATATTCCTCAATGGGAATGAGAGAGATGATAGGAGTAAGACTATCATCATAACTTTCATTCTCCACGTTAAATGAAACAAAAGGGCTGCACGAACTCAAAGAAATGAACTAAATTTAGTAAGAAATGTATATGAAGTGCCAGAAATTCTCTCAGTATAAGACAAGGCTTTCTAAATAAACATGACATTTTACCTTGGAGGAATGGCAGAACTACAAGGATAATATGCTTCAGACACTCTCCTTTCTCTTAGCATCTCATCATATTTCTCCGTACTTTCTTCACCAGCTGCCACGCTCCAACAACGATTCAGAACAAGCTATATCCGAAATAGATCAGTTAATGAACATGACCAAATAGAATAACATTTTGTATGAGGAAAAACTGAAAAGAGATATTTCTTCCTGACAGTATATTAAACCATCTGATATAAACTAAAGAAACGTTCATGAAAGGGAAATTTGATGAAGATTCTATATCTTTCAAGAAATTTCCAAGATCTCATTACCGGAGGAGGGCTTTCCCATTTAATGTAAGAAAATTCTGACTTTGATTGATTCTGGAAATGATTGCCTTCAAATCCAGGTGGGAAATCATCATTTTCAAGGGTTGAAGGCCTTGTGGACAATGTCTTTGCTTGAAAATCATCTTCAGATTTGTTTCCAATTTTTGAAGGACTTTCCTCAGATGAGAAAATTTTTACCTGTTAATTAAGGTCACACTAATCTATAAGCTTTCAAAAGAAGACTGAAAAGGTTTACGTGAAAACTCTCAATAGCATAACACTATCATGACATACATATGAACTTTGGAGTTGAGACAGTTTCTTGAACTTGTTCCAGCAGAATGTTTCATTTCAAACAAGGATGTGCAAAACACGACGGAGCGTATTTTGAAATATAAATAAAAAGATTTATCATAAGTACAAAAATAATTAATTTAAACAAACAATATAAATAACTAAAAGGAAAACAATAATTTCTAAAAATAGAAAAATGAATTTAAATTATAATCATGAGATTAAAAATGTTATATGAAAATAACTTTTTAAACATTTAAAAGTAAGATTATTTAGTAATTAAAAAAAATGATAAGTTCTATTTTCATGGTAAAAAATAAAGACAAAATGACTATCAACATGTTAATGACCTATGTGAATCTAAGCTTGCATTTCTCTCAAAACGTCTGAAAAGAAATGTTATTGAACAGAAGATAAAACTAAAAGCATTCAACTATATTCTAGAAAAACATAAACAAAATAAATCACTGAGCTTAAGCATAGTCCTTTAAATTTATAGAATACAGAAATTGAAGAGTCTTACCACAGTTGACTTTAGTGATTTTTTTTCCTGCAACTGAAATATGTATTTATACTAATGCAGATTAATGCACAGTTATATTTTTCATTTCGATTACGTACCCGTCCTACCTTTTGACAA